TTGAGCCACGCTGGGAAATTTAGAATTTTATCCCAAGAACAGTGAGGATCTGGAGAACATTTTAAGCTTTGGCTTATGGATAGACTACAGTAATCACAGAGAGACTCTCAGCAATACAGAAGTCCCACTTCTTAGTAATGAAAGTAAAGGTAAAACGTAAAAGGGTTAAAAATTAAAACTACAATAAAACATAAGAGAAAGCCTTTAGGATCTGAGATTAGGCAAAATTCTTCGATACACCATAAAAGAAAAAAATGAGCCATGAAAGGACAAATGGATAAATGGGACTTCATCAAATTCAAAACTGATGTTCTTTGAAAGACACTACCAAAAGAATTTAAAAAACCAACAACATGGAGAAAATATTTGCAAATTATATATCTGATAAAGAATTTGTATCCAGAATATATAAAGTTTCAAAACTCAATAATAATCCAAAAAAGCAAACTAGCTGGATGTAATGGTTGTTGTCTGTAATCTCAGTACTCAAGAGGCCAGGGCAGAAGAATTATCCCAGAGCTACACAGCAAGACCCCGTTTCAAAGGAAAAAGCAAACTACCTCATAAGAAATGAGCAAAAGCTTTGAACAGACAATTCACCAAAGAAGGACAGATGGCAGACAAATACAAAAAGAGATGTCAAACAATCATTAGACATTTGGGAAATGCAAATTAAAACTACAATGAAATAACTTCCTCATTAGGGTATCTAAAATGAAAAACCCAGATTGCATTAGCCAGCCTTACTATTGCTGAGACACAATACCCAATACCTACAATTTAAAGAAGTTTAATTGAGCTCATGGATCTGAGTACATGGTTAGTAGGCTCCAAGGCAGGAACAACAGGGTAGAAAGGCTCGGCAAAGCAAAGCTGCTTCATTCATGGCAAGAAACAGTGCCAGAGAGGAAAGAAAGAGGGGCACCAGATGTAATGCCCAAGACCATCCTCTGTGAGCCGTGTAGGCTCACCCACTCGTGTGCTCGCAAGTCCCCTGTGTGGGTCTCAAAGCCGATAAAGACGACATTCCCCGCTAACCACCACACTGAAGGCGTCAAATGTTGGTGAGGACACGGAGCCCCTGGAACTCTCATAGACGGTGGGGTGGGAGCGCAGCTGCTTTAGAAACAGGTTGGCAGGCTCTTGGACAGCCAAGCAACACCTAGAAGGTGACCCAGCCATTGCGCTCCTAGACATTTATCCAAAGGACATGAAACTGTATATCCATACAAAGACTGGGACAAACCATAGAAGGAGGGAAGAGCGGGGGGGGGGGGGATTTAAAAGAATTAAGTGTGTTGTGTACATGTACAAACTCCCCAGATGAATGTAATAATTACACACTACAAACATGTACTGTAAAATTCCTTAAAAGACTGGTATGTGAGTGTCTATAACAGCTTTATTATTTTTTTTTAATCAGTACCGGGGATTGAACTCACAACCATGCACTTGCAAGGCAGGCGCTTATGCCGCTGAGCTAAATCCCCAGCCCAACAGATTTATTTGTAATAACTAGAAACTAATCAAATGTTCATCAGTGTGTGAATAAATAAACAAACTGTGGTGCAGTTGGTGCTGGGGATTTAGCTCAGCAGCATAAGTGCCTCTGGCAAGTGCGATGTCCTGAATTCAATCCCTGGCACACAAAAAAACAAAAACTATGGTACATTCACACAATGGAATACTACTCACTGATTAAAAAGAATGAACTATTAATAGACAAAAATAATATTCATGAATCTCAAAATAGTTATGCTGAGTGAAATAAGTTAGATAAAATGAGAGTACATTCTCTATGGCTCCATTTTCATAATATTCTAGAAGTTGCCAGTTCATGTATAGAGGCAGAAAGGAGATCAGTGGTTGTCTGGGGAATGTAAGGAGTGGGGTGGGGGCAGACAGTAGGAGAGACCACAGAATGACACCCAAAAATTCCTTTGGAGTAAGAGATATGTTTATTTTTTTATCTAGGGATGGTTTCATAAGTGTATATATGTGTCAAAATTCATCACATTGTACACTTTAAACACATGCAGTTCATTCATATATCTTTTACACCTCAAGAAAGCTGTTCTACATACGTAGCAGTAAAATGGGCATTATCCTGGGTGCAGCTGAGGATCAGGGACTTTCTCTCCATCTCTCATCTCCACACTCAGTTTCCAAAAACCTGGATGAACTTCTGCCTTCTCTGAGCTAATACAGTCCTCTTTTGTCTACAAGCTATTTCAGACTTGGTGCCTGTTGCTTGCAACCAAAACTTTTCTGGTAAGAATGGAGCAGAGCCTAGAGCGGTGCCGGCAGACCTACGGCACACGTGCCACAGCAGGTTGTCTGTACCACTGAAAGCTCTCAAAGGTTCGCCATCCCTGCTATGAGAGTGCTACGAGAGCACAAGATGTGTCACCTCACCTTGGGGGCCCAGGGATGAGGAGTCAGGATGTCAGGAAAGAGTTTTGGGGAGAAGGTGCTACTTGAGTTGATGTCTGGAGAAGTTGGGGCTGGAACGGAGGGACTAGAAAAACTCAGGTACACACTGCAGTGTGAGCAGAGTTCCAAGCCCAGACGTCGCAAGGCGTGTGCTTGCAGGTTTCCTGGTGTTTCTGGACCTGGCATGAGATAAGTGTCTGAAGGGAAATGAGGCTGGAGAAGTCAGCAGCGACTGGCTCATGCAATATTATTTGTTTGTTCATTTGCTTGTTTTTGAAACAGGGTCTTGCTATGTATTCTAGGCTGTCCTTGAACTTACTATTTAGCCCAAGATATCCTTGAACTCATCATGGTGATCTTCCTGCCTCAGCCTCCCAAGTGCTGGGATCATAGGCATGCACCACCATGTCCAGCTGCATGCCACGTTAACAAGCTGGAACTCGATCTTGCTGGCAAGGGAGAGCCATGAAATATTTGTGAGCAGAAAAGAGCTACAAGCTCATCTTTGCTGTATGGGGCTCTCACTGGGATGAGGGGAAGTGAACAGACCAAGAAGGGATCATGGCCTCAGCCAGTGTTAACTTTGAAGGGACTGTGGATACCTCAGAGAGGTGGCCAGCGGGAGTCAGGTCTAGCCGCTTAGTCTCCAACCGGAGACAGAGTTGAGTGTTCGCTCTATCACCGGCCACGCATGGCTCAAGGAGATGGAGAGGTAGAGAAAGCCGCATCGGTGTCTCAGGACCTCCACCTCGCCACTTCAGGGCCTAGGGGAGCCTGGGGCAACTACAAAGCAAAGGAGAGAAAGAAATGTCATCACTACAGGGCCGTGTGAGCAGAGCCGGAGAGCAGGTTGTCATGGAAACTGAACTGCTGAAGCATTTCTAAGAGGACAGGATCAGCGGGACCAAATGTGGCAGAAAATCCAAACCAATGAAGGTTGAAAATTTTCTTTTGATTTGGCAATTAGTAGAACATTGATGAGTTTAATAAGAGCAGTTTCAGGGGCTCATGGACCAACGAGGAGCTGGAGATGGGGAGGTGCTTAGAAGGTAAAATGGACAAGAGCCGATGATGAGATGCCCTGGGTGATGGGGCAGTGTCAAGCAAGGCCTGCACCTCTGGCACTCGGGACGGACTGGGTGGCAGTGAGGCGTGACACTGGAGCACGGAGCTTTCGACGGGGAGATCAGGGGCTTCAGGCAGGACATTTTAATCCCACAAATACACTTAGTGTTTACAACGCCCGGACTGTGTCCCTCCAAGTTTACTTACTTATACTAATTCATTTGTACTTACGACTATTTTGGAAGGCAAACACTGCCTCATCTATCATCACTGACACATGAAAAAACAGAGAGGTCAGGGAACTGGCCCACAGAAAGGGGGTGACCAAGGACAGAACTGAAGCAGGGCCAGTACACATGTTAGTGTGTATTCCCTGAGAGGGACACCGGGTGGCACAGAGTCAGGCAGATCTGCGCTCCAGGGCTCAGCAAAGGGGCTGGGACTGCAGCTGTGAAGGCCGAGCCCCAGCAGGAAGAGCCCAGATGCAGAGCGCCTTGGAAGGTCCAGGAGGGAGTCAAGGCTTCAGCAGTGGATGGCAGTGTGAGGAGGAGGCTGGACAGACGGAAAAGGGGAGGAGAGAGGGGAAGGCGGCTCACAGGAGCCTCCACTGCAGGAACCTCTGGGGACAAGGGTCCCAGAAGGCTGGGTGGCCAACAGTGGCCATGTCCAGAGAGGTCAGGGGAGGTGGCTGGGCCACAGGGAGGCTTTGGGGATCTTTATCAGATTAGCCTCAAGGCAAAGCACAGGACCCCTGCAAAAGGACACAAAGGAGGTGCTGGCTATGAAGGTCTCTGGAGGGACAAGGGGTACTACCTAGGGGCACACAGTCCAGGGAGGTACTGTTTCTAAATGCAAGCATTTTTAAAAGTATTTTTCAATAAGCAAATGCATGTATGCAGTCCAAAACTTGATATCTACCAAGGATGCCCAGTGGGAAGTCCCCCTCCCGTCCTTCTCCCCAGGCCCCCAGGTCTCCTTCACAAAAGCAGTTGGCGTGTGCTTTCAGAGATAGAAAATAAAACTTGTGTGTGGGAACTCTGGAATTCTGGGAATAGAAAATAAATTTCAGGATCCTGGCACTCTTCGGGGAAGGGTGGCATTCGCAGTGAGTGATGGAAGAGCGGGACGGTTGAGCTGGGGGTGGGGTAAGTGTGGCGTAGGAAATTAGCTGTGGACAAGAACGTGTGCTTCATTGAATGGTACAAAATTGATTCATTTTCCTTCTGTCGAGGAACATGAGCCTGCCGTTCTTCTGGGGCCTCTTGCCTGCCCCGGGTCCTGGTGGCAGCTCACACTGAAGGGGGTTTTGTCCCATTCCCCAGCTGGAAGCACCAACCCCTGCCTTTGAACCCCCTCATCCCCCGGTCACTGGATTAATCCCCACAACTCCTGAACAAACTTCTTCTGACATAAAATAACATGTGTGAATGCAGTTCAATCTCTCTCTCTCTCTCTCTCTCTCTCTCTCTCTCTCTTTCTCTCTCCCCCTCTCTTTAATGATAGAAACCAACTGGAATGCCAAAGGGGACAAAATGGAGCTGCAGGATGACTGGGGCAAGAGGTAGGAGAAGAGGCCCTTGCGGGGAAGGATCTCTGTTTTTGTTTTTTGTTGGTACCAGGGATCAAACTCATGGCCTCATGCTTACCAAGCAGGCACTTGTACCACTGAGCTAAGTCCTCAGCCCAGGAGAGGATCTCTAAAACCCAGCTGCCTATGGCAGAGGAGGGCAGGCGGCATATAGCAGGCCCTCAGTCCTTGAGGCCGCTGCGCCCCCTCACAGCATGCAGGAGTTTGCTCCCTGCCTCAGCAGCCCCCATCTGTGGAGGCACGTGCGGACTAAAAGGAGGGCCAGCAGGTTAAAGGACGGGCTCCAGCCAGGGCTCACTCTGTCCCCTGCCTCAGTCTGCGACTAAGCAGATGGCTCCCTTCTCTGGGCCTCGATCTCTCTGCTATAGAAATGGTAGCAGAGAGTTTGGGGAGCACTTACCCAGGGCAGCCTCTCCTTTCTTTCTTCCAGCATTTTGGGCTCTGACTGTGGTGGTTTTACAGGACCCATGACCACCTTCCCTATCATGGGTACCTGGGCCCCACTGTGTGCACACACTTGTCATAGAACAGAGCCAGAGATATGGGGGGGGGTCACTGGGCACCCTGAAGGTAGCACTGAGAGCTGAGAGGTGGGGGCCAGGCCTGGAGTCTCCCTGAGCGTATCCCTTGGGGGCTGCAGCTCAGAACGCCAAAGAGAACAAGCTGGGCCCTGAGTTGTGCTCTTGCAGAACAGGCTCAGGAGACACAGAGGCAGAAGACGATCCGGAGGGACACTGGGAGAACGGTGGGGACACCAGGAAGCAAGAGTGGAGAACATCCTAGAAGGAAAAAGTGACCACCATGGGCCGCGAGCGGCGAGGTGGGATGGGGGACCCGGGAGGAGCGATGCTTTCCTGGAGGGACCTGTGGGAGGGCAGGGGCAGCGGCACAGCTGGCTGAGACGCCAACCACTGGAGCCAGGGAAGGAGGAAGGAGGCAAGACCCAGCGGGATCCGGTCTTCGGCAAACTGGAGACGTGCGGGTTTACGTTCTGGGTCAGGGGAGCCTGGGACCCTGAGCAGGTAAGCATGCGACCCTCGTGAGCAGATGGGGCGGAGGGAGAGACTCAGGGATTATCGTCAGGCGATCACATGTGTCGTGTTAAGTCAGACTTAATTAAACCTTCCCCCTTTCGTGAGTCACCTGATCCCCGTGTCCTGCTACAGACTGTGCTCATCCTCCGCGGATTTCAGTGCCCTTGCAGGCGCCAGTTCCACCTCGCCTGCTGGTGGGGCCTGCCCTCTTCTCTGGTCACTTGTAATAATCAACAGAGCTGATCATGTGCTCAATGTACTTTCTGTTGTGCACAGGTAGCTCGGGGCACAAATCTGTAAGGTGCAACTCAGTGAGTTTTTGTTTTTTGTTTTTTGGGGGTTTTTTTTGTTTGTTTGTTTTTGGTTTTTTATCAGTACTGGGGATCGAACTCACGACCGCCTGCTTGCAAGGCAGGTGCTTATGCCGCTGAGCTAAATCCCCAGTCCCCTTCTTGGTGAGTTTTTAATTCTGCACACACACCGCTACCAGGTCCAGTCAAAAACAAGTTCATCCTCCTTCCAGACTCCCTGGCATCCCTCCCCACTTATTACTTCCATCCCAGGCATACTTACCCTTCTGACTTCTGTCACCCAAGTGTTTCTGCTTCTCTTGAACTTCTTATGAATACAATTAGTGGGTCTGGCTTCTTCCACAAAACATACATCTTTGAGGTTCACACATGTTGGAAATGTAATTTGTCTTCATAATTTGTCTTGTCTTTTCATTGCTATGTAATATTCCTTCGTGGGAATACACCACTGATGGATCTATGGATCTATTCTCCTGTTAGTAGACATATGGGTTGTTTATGAGTTTTTTCCTATGACAGATAAAGCTGCTGAGCATTCTGAACACTTTTTTAGGTGACTGCATGCAATCAGTTCTGATAGGTAATATTTCTAGGAGTGGAGTGCTAGGCCATAGTGTAGACATGGGTTAGGTTGCACTAATTTGTAAGTTAGTTGTATTCAACATTTACTCCTTTTAGTGTAGAATTTTGGTAGATATATGGAACTGCATAACTCCTGTCACAATTAAAATGTAAGACATTTCCATCACCCCAAGAAATTGCCTTGTTCTCTATCAGTCCCTGGAAACCACTGAGCATGCACAAGGCCTTGGGTTCGATTCCCAGTATTGAGCAAGGTGAAGAGAAAGAAAAAGAAAGAGAAAGAAAAGAGAAAAAAGAGGCAGTCAGGGGTTACAGACTCTGCCAAGTTGGAGTCACTGACTGGGACTCCATAGGACACCCTCATGGCGCTGTTCATTGGGAGGGCCTGGAGCGACTCAGCAGGGGAACCAGGCACACAGGCCTGAGAGGGGGACTGTTGGCAAAAGGCTTGGGGGAAGAAGATGAGGAACTTCAAGAAGGAAAAAGAAGGCCAGGAGGCCTCCCTCTGAGGAGCTCCAGGGCGATGGGAGGGTTAGACTGAAACTATACGCCCTTGTTGGGGGTGGAGTGGAGCTGCCTGAGATAACTAAGGAGGCCCAGGCTGGTAACTGTCCCCACGTCCTGAGGGAACTTCACAGGGTCCTGGGAAGGCAGGATGGACCCTAGACACCTGGGGTCTCTAGCCCTGCCCCACTGAACTGGGCCAATGTCAAAAGTTCTCAAGAAGGCAAGTGGGCAGGGGAGCCTTAGGAACCTGTGGATGCTGGGAAGTCCACCTGTGGGCAGCAAAGACGGGCACGGAGGTAACAGGAGACAGCTGGTTGGAGAAACTTGTCCAGGAAGGCAGAGGCTGTGAGTGGGAACTTGCAGGAGTAGAGAGAGAACACCGAGAAAAAGGGGAGATCAGAAACAGGAGACAGGAGAGTATGAGACCCAGGAGGGGAGAGACACAGGACAGCTGCCCTGCACACAGGGAGATGTAGACAGGTGGCTGCAGATGCACGAGCAAGAAGGGCCTGGGCCCCTGGAGGCCTGGATCCCCAGAAGAGGGAGCTGGGGTGTTGGCTGGGCCCAGAGGGAAAGGGCATGTGGACCCCCAGCTCAGGGCTGCAGGGTGGAAAGGGAAGGAGCTGGAGTGACCGACTGACCTTAAGAGCCAGCCAAGGCTGGAGGGACGTCAGCTAGATCGGGGCCGTAAGCACATGATGTGATGTGAGCCTGCCGCCCTTGGCAGCTCAGAGGCGGATTGAGAAAAATGGAGGGGTTTTAGTTCCCTCTCATCCACCATCCTGTTTAATGGTCCCAGCACCCCCAGTCACCTCTGATTTACAGACAAGGGAACTGAGGCCCAGGGAGAGGAGGACATGAACCTGACTATTCAGCAAGTGAGCAGTGAGACAAGACTCTGGCCAAGGACCAGGTTTCTCTGCTTGGCGGCAACCCTATGGCCCCGTGTCCCTTCCCAGACACATGGAGAGTGCCGCGGCAGCCCTGTGCCTACTGCCCTCTGCCAGGCACAGACACACACAGAGCTTGCTTGCTCCCCATGAGCCAGCTGTTGCTCAACTCAGTTTTTCTGCCTGTTCATCAAAGCCTCTCAGGTAGGGACCGGGAGGGAGTCGAGGTCCAGAGGTAGCACCTAACTGGTCTGGGTTAGTCAGGGCCACACAGCACAGGGCCTCAGTGTGGTGGTTGTAAAATATGTCTACAAATTCTTTGGCATTCCTCCCTTCAACAGACAGAGCCAAATTCCCCTGCTCTGAGTGTAGATAGGATTTAGTGACTCACTCCTGACAAAGTAAAGCAGAAGTGAGAGTATATGCTTCGTTGTCAAAAGGCGCGGCAGCCCCTCTTCCCTTGCTCACTTCCTTCCCTCTCTCCTCTCTGCACACCCTCCACAGGGAGCCAGCTCAAACCCTCAGACCAGGCCAACAGCTCTATGCAATCTTTTCAGTGACTCTGAGCCAAACCCATCCAAATGTGCTCCCAGATGCTGACCATCAGAAAGTCCGATAGTAACCGTCTGCTGTTTGCGATGATGAACCTCTGTGGCAATTTGTTACACAGCAATGCATAACTAATACATACTTTGGCATTTGTAAATGAAGGGCCACCACAACAAAAACCTAAACTATGGGAATGGCATTGACACAAGGGAGTCCGGAGCGGCTAGAAAGACTCCAAGAATGATAATATTTGTACAAACATGGTGTCCTTTGAGGAGACTGCAGAGAAGGCTTGAAAGAAAATGAGGAAAGTCTTCCTGGAAAGTGGAGGAGAAAATCCTCTTACTGCAGCGGCAGAGGTTACTGTAACATCACTGCTTACAACAACACGTGGAATACGTAATGTGCCAATGAACCGAGTGATCAAGTTAAGGAGCCTTCCAGGCAAAGTGTTGAAGATGCCATCTGGTTTATTTTAGGCATTTTTAGTAAAATGAAAAATTAAAAAAAGACAAACTAAATAAATTATCTGTTAAACATGAAGAAGCCATAACTTGATGATTGCAAAAAGGTTTAACGTCTCCAGGCAAAAAGCAAGATGAAGATTAAGACACAATTTTGGCTAGGCACAGTGGCACAAACTTTTAATCCTAGCTTGAAGGTTGGTGCAAGAGGATCACTAGTTCAAGGTCAGCCTGGACAACTTATACAGACCTGGTCTCAAAAAATTTTAAAAGGGCCGATGCTGTAACTCAGAGGTGGAGTGTTTGTCCAGCACATTTGAAGCAATCACCAGTGTCACACATATAAAACATTCGCCCAAAGATCAAATCCAGAATGTCCATCCATTTGTGTTGCTGTAACAAAATATCTGAAACTGGATACTTTGTTTTTAAGAGGTTTTTTTGGCTTACAGTTTTGAATATTCAAGAGCATGAGCCAAGGCATTTTAGTCTGAATAATTCCTAGAATTCAGACAGGGGAAGATAACTACGTTTTGACTAGCTATCAAAGTAATCATTGACAATCATCATTAAATACATTATGGCATTTAATCAGGCCTTAGGAGAAAAGAAAACTATCTCATGAATAAAGGCTACCATAAACTTATGCTAAAAAGGCATACCAAGAGCCTCGGAATGATGAAATAATTAGCAAGGAACTTAACTGCATGCCAGTCTTTAATGGAAAACAACAAAAATCAGGCCGTCAACTATGCAACATTAACATTCATAATGTCCAGCACCAAGTAAAAAATTCCTACATAGGTCAAGAAACAGGAAAATGATCCATGATTAGTAGAAAAATCAGTAAATTGAAAAGGACCCAAAAATATCAGTGACGATGGAATGAGTGGACAAGAATGTTAAAAGGCTGCTAGCTGTATGGGTTTTGTTTTGTTTTGTTTTGTTATGACTCTTTTAGGCAGAGGAGACCCCAACCCTCGGCTCAGAGCTTGGAGAAAAGAATGAGAGTTGGATTTTGGCCTCCACTCAATCTTCCCCCAGATCTACCTGTGCAGAAACTACCTGAGCCACCATGGGTGACAGCCCTGCTGTCTGTCCCGGGAGCACCAAGGAGGCAATATGGTTGGAGCAGAAGTAAGGGAAAGGCGTGGAGGATGGGAAACATAGTGGGGAGGAAGGCTATGCAAGCCCTGTGAGGGAGGACTATTAGCTTTTACTCCAAGTGGCTGGAAGCCGTAGGAGGTCTGAGCAAGGAGAGTCACGATCCTTCCAGAGGCTGATGGAGGGAGAACAGGCAGTGAGCCTGGGACCTGGAGGAGCCAGAGGGTGCTGCACAGTGCTCCTGAGACAGGACGCTGGGGCCTGGCCAGAAGCAGAGGCTGAAGGGACTGCGGCATGGAGGGGTCTCGGTGACCTCTTGCGGGAGACATAGCGGGAAGTGAGGATACAGGGGTCTTGGGCTGCAAGAGCAAGAGAAGCCGGAGATAACAGAGATAATGGCTTCTGCAGCAGCTCCAGGCAGGCTGCAGTGCTGGGCGCTAATGAGATCAGGGTGAGAAACACATTTTGGGGTGTGAAGATGGCTGGTGGGTTTGAGACACCTGCAGAGGGAGGGCAGGTGGGGATGTCAGCAGAGAGGACGGGGTGAGTTCATGGGGAGTGGGAGGAATAAAGACAGGAGAGAGAGGGAGAGAGGACAAACAGACCCTGCCCAGAGCCAAGTGGGCTCACTGTGGACCTCAGAGGGATGGGCTGACAGATGAGGATCCCAGGAGAGCTGACCTGATGACGCATCAGAGAGACGAGCCTGCATGCACACACGCACGCACACACACAGGGGGAATTTGGTAAGCTCCTTTGGAGAGCAGGAACGAGTGTGTGTGAATGAGGCTGCGGAGGGAGGCTCTCAGAGAGACAGACATGCACATGCAGACTCACATACAAGAGCCGCCCCAGGAACAAACTCCTGTACACATTCAGGGTCTGAGGTGGCAGACGAGTGAATGGGAGAGTGAGTGGGCGCCAGGGGGGCTGACAGAGATCAGCAAGAGAGGAGGGGAGTGGAAAGACACCAAACCTCTGTGTTTTCAAGGATCCACAGTGAGACGCACAGACACAACTGTGACACAACAGGAGGACCTAATCTGGAGGGAATATGAACAATGAGAGAGGGGCTGGGGAGGCAGGAAGTCCAGAGATCCAGAGAGGCAGCTGTGTGTACACTCAGACCAACAGACAGGACAGACAGACCACAGCCTAATGACAAACACTAGGGACCCAAGACAAGCAAGATCCAGGAAGAGGCTCTGCACAGAAGCTGCCACCATCCTTCCAGACAGGCAGAGGCATCCGAGGATCCCCTGGCAGGAGGAGGCCAGCTCACAGTGCACCTCATAAAGGGGATCCGAGAATGAAACGTGTCTACCTCCTCGGATGGAAGAGGCCTCAAGTGCACCAGCAAGTCTCAGGCTTAGAGAGGTGGCAGTTATGTCGGGACGGCAGCCATGATGTCTGAAGAGGGCCGTGTGTTCCGTTTCCTCTCTCATCCCTCCCTCCCCTACCCATCACCTCCCATCTGCCTGCCTCTGTCTACCTATGTGTCCACCAAAATGACTCACTCATCCAACAATTATGATCATAAGGGATAATCGGTTACAAATCAAAAAGTAGGATGTTTCAAAGCAGACTTTAATCTTTCTTAAAGTGTTTAAGTTTTTTCAAGTTGAACACGTTCACACCACCTCTTGATAAATAGAAATTAATTTTTCAAAGGAAGATAGTAAAAGGGGATGCAGAAAATGTGATAATGACAGAGAACAGGTGACGATAGCCACGCGGAGCCCTCCCTTCTCTTCCCCTCCGGTTGCTAACCTCCCGCAGCCCTGCTCTAAGCTGGGACCAGAGACAGCTCAACACCTGCATGGTCCGCAGGGATGGAAAGACCCCAAACACGTTCACCATGGGCCTGGATGTACCCAGGCATGCTCCTGTGGTGCCATGGGCTCTCAGGGACAGGCCTGGGGCTTCCCCAGAGAGAGGAGAGAGCCAAGGGCTTCACTGTATGCCATTCAGAAAGGGCAGAAGCAGGGGGGTGGACTAGCCCACACCTCCCTGCCAGGAAGAGGCCATCGTGGCTGTGGCTGGGTGGAGAAGAAGTTGCCACGAGTGGGACAGTATGAGTGGAACCGGCAAGCTTTAAAGCAGGGCCATTAGCTCGACCTTTACCAGGAACATCCTGGGGCTGCCAAGAGGGGTCAGACCAGCCCAGGGCAAGCACCAGATAGGAGGCTTGAAAGGGTGACTCAGTGAGTAGAAAAGGCAGGCCCGGCAGCAGCGAGGGCTGATGACCTGTGGTAGGGCCAGGCTTGGCAGAAGGCAGGACTGTGACTTTGTCTGCTTTCACTAGAGATGAGCAGCCAGTGGGGGAGGAGACTGGAGAAGAGAACTCCAGTGCAGGAGGGGCAGGGAGAACCCTCAGATTGCCTGGGAGCCCTGTCTCCTGGTCCCACGCTCAAGGGCGAGGATGTGCAATTCCAAATTCAGGAGAGACCTCTACTCCAAGAAGAGTGATGCGTGGCGATGGGTATTCTGAGTGGGGGGAGCTGCCCCTGGGGAGCGGCAGAGCAGGAAGAAGAGTACTGAGCCCCAAGGGACATCAGTACCAAGAGAAGGATGGAGGACCAGGCTGCGGAAGAGGACAGTCCAAAGATGGAAGGAGAGCCACAAGTGTCCAGGATCCTATGGGCCAGAGGACATGAGGGGGCAAAGGGCCATGGGCTTTGGTGAGCAAGAGGTCAGTGGGGGACTCACTTGAGATTCGCGGTGGGCTCCAGAAGGCGGAGGACAGGTGCTGAGCATGGTGTGGGACCAAGGCAAGGGGGGAAGAGGGCAGAGCCAAGGATCCTTCTCCCATGGCTCTGAGGATGAGCAGGAGAGGAGCAGTGGTTACCAAAGTGGCAGCAGAGTGAGCCAGGAAGAGAGCAAAGGGTGACGTGGCCAGGGCAGCCACGTGGGCCACAGAGATGGGGAAGAGCAAAGGAGAGGACCAGCAGTTTGGAGGAAGACCCTGGAACAGAAGACCAGAACAGGAGGGGAGAACGCAGCGGAGTTTGGGATGTAACGGGGCAGGTGGCCGGGCAGGCTGAGAGGAGAGCAGGGCCTGAGCGGAAGGACCGAGGGAGATGGCGCGTGTGTTGGCAGTGTGGCCCCCGCACACAGGGAGGGAGAGGGGCACAGAGGTGAGGACCAGCCAGGGTGAGAGGGAAGAGTGTGAGGGAATGCCTAGGACAGAGCTGGACAGGCCACACACACACATGCATACGCGTGTGCACACACAAACCACACACACACTTAGGATGCTGAGAAGGCTTAATGTCCATCACTGCTCTCTCCCAGGACGACAGCTGGTCTTTCCTCTCCAGAACACTTCAGGACCTGCCTAGCCTTTGGTCCCCCTCCCCCCATGCAGCTCCAAGGCCTCAACAGATGTGGTGTGGCTGGATGGACAGATGGGCAGATGGACTCAGTCATCCATTCTTCCACCCACATGATGCTACAGAGGCCTGAGGACCTCCAACCACTCCTGGGAGGGAGTGCTGGCTGGAAGGCTCAGAGCGGCTATGGGGAACCACACAGGAGGACCGGAAGGGGCAGCCAGGGTGTGGCAACCATGAGACAGGTGCAAGGCACCTGCGGAGGGGCTCAGTCAGGGCCACTCCAAATCCACAGTGTGTGCCGCAGAACGAGGGTGGGTAGTTTCTGAGTGCAGCAGAGACCGGGCTGACTTACCAGAGCGCAAAGCGTGAGCTCTCGGAAACCAGGTGCAGCAAGAGAGGTGAGGACCCCAGAAGAACAGGAGACAGGACAGACCAACAGACAGATCCTGGCCAGAGCACTGGGCTTTCCATGGTGGGATCCCGCCTGAGCACACCCTGGGAAGATGAGTATACACACACACACACACACACACACACACACACACACACAGCAAGACACAGAGCAAGAGCAAAACACTATGAAGCCCAGAAGGAGGGAGCAGAAATCGAAAGGGAAAGTGGCAGACACACATGCACACACTTGATTGCATGTGCGCACACACATGATAACAATGACATGCAAACTATGGAAAATCCAGTGAGGCTCCTCTGGAGTGCAGAGGGAGCATGACTGAGCAAGAGGAGGGCAGAGCCAGAGTGGAATGGGAGATCAGGGCACACTGATACAAAGTTAAAAAAATAAAATAAAGAGGGGGAGGGGGGACCCGGAGGGAGGCAAGAGGCAGAGGAAGGCAGAGATGCAGCTCAGCAGGCGCATATGCAGACGGGTGGGGAGAGAGGCCGGACACAGCCTGAGAAAGAGCCAAAAGCAGCGGTCAGAAGCCACACATCCACACAGCAGCGGCACAAACTGTGACACTCGGGGCAGGGACAGAACAGAGCGGGGAGGGAGAGAAACAAAGGCTCGGCTCTGGAGTGATAGCATTGGAATGCTCAGATGGACAGACAGCAAAGAACCCAAAGCACTCCAGACCCCACAAGGAGGGGCAGGCAGGAAAGACGTCCTGAGAGTGCCTGTTCCTGGCACCCTCACCTGCCCTGGCGCACAGAGAGCACCCAGCACCACCTCATCATGCAGTGCAGCTTCAGTCTGAGGCAGGCTCTGGGGCAGAGGTTCCAAACAGTGCATCAGTGCTGGGACTGCTGGCAATTGGGCTCTCTGGGGAAGAAGATTCCTCACCTGTAGCTTGTGCCCATTTCTGTGGTGTAAATGTCGCAGGGCTAATTCAAGCCAGCAATGCACCCTCACTGAGCAGAGTAAGGAAGAGGCGCCCACTGTTGGCTCCAGGCACCCGCATGTTCACAGAAAGAACAAGATTAATCACCAGAGAGAAGCTCGTCCTTAGAACCTGCCCACAGTAGCCAGGATTTATATTTTAAATGAGTCCCCCAAACCAGCTCTACTTCACCAAGATGAGCAGCCCTGCAGGGGCAGTATGGACAGTCACACAAAGCTGGTCACTGTGGCTTCCCTCAGCGGAGCAGGACAAAGAAACTTCAAGTCTGTCTGCCATGCTCTAAGTTTTTGCCAAAAGAATTTCTTCATCTATCACATACGATTAAAAACTAATCGTATAAATCTGAAGAGGGAGAAAAATGGAGGGAGGAGTGGGAGAAGGAGACAGAGAGTGACCTCCACATCCCTGACCCATGGCCTTCGCACACCTCCACCCTCAGGATCCTCCTCCTGCTGAGACAGATGCTCTGACCTGTCCTCCAGGAGCTCACAGCCTGAGGGGCCGGACAGTGCGGTCAAACACACGTCTCTCAGCCTCCCGTGTGCCTAGGACATCGGGGACCCTCATCTGATAAAGAGAGACCCCAGGCACCAAGTGGCAAAACCTTCTTTGAGAAGGACATGGAGCTTTCCTGGGGATCACCCACGACCCGGCTCAGCAGAGCTGTGTGGGAGAGAGTGGGAGGGGAGCAATGGCTGTGGTGAGCATAACGAATCACGCAGACCCCAGGAGACCAGCTAGGGGAGGGAGGAGAGCAGGAGAGGGAGGCTGGGCCCTGGGGGTGCAAGTACAGGGGATGGAGCAAGCAAAAGGCCACAAGGAAACAGGTGGGCCCAGAGGCCAGAGTCAAGGAAAGAAAGGGACACAGAACTCCAGCATCCAAGGTCCCCAGTGGAGTTTGCAGCTGGTCCTGGCTTTTCCCAGTCTCTTAGCAGACACAGAGCAGCTGCTGTGGTGAGTGGCAGAAGATGGCAGGTTGGGAGGGAGGAGGTGGACACAGCCCGAGTTGAGAGTTCCTTCCCTAGACACTCTGTCATGGAAGGAGAGGACAGGAGGGAGGTGGGAACAAAAGTTCAAGGGGAAAAGTGACTCCTCAGGTGGGAGGGAGGGAAGTATGTCCACTGCTGAGAGACCCTGAGGGATGCGGGAGGGAAAGGGACAGCCGTTGCCAGGGCAACTGCACTGACTAGAAGCATGAGGGGATCATAAGGAAAGAGGGAGGGAATTTGGAGGTAGAGGCAACCGTGGGTTAGAAGGGGGAGACGGGTGGACGGAAAGGGGCTTCTCTGTGCTTAGTACTGCATTTGCAGAAAGGGGAAAATATGCAGCTCATCATAGATTTGGGGAGTCTACGCTGCTGAGGATGAAGTTCTCAGGAGCTTCAGGTTGGGTTGAATGCCCAGTGCTTCAGCAGACAGATCTAGAGTGGATCCGGAGATATGGGACTGTTCTTGTTTTTACACGCACCAAAATGCGCAGTAACATCAAAAACACAAGACGTGCTTATCACCCTGTATTCTTCCAACTCCCCTAAGAATTCAACTCCATCAGCAGTATCTTAGCCTATGGGATCTCTGTCTTCAGTAGAACATCGAGGGCGTATTCGGTGTATGCTACATGGATGAGCGGGTGGGTGAATGGATGGGCAAGTGCGTGGATAGTTGGATGGAGGAATGAGGGATGAATGAATGGGTGCGTAGGCAGATGGGTAAATGTGTGGATGATGAATGAGTGCATAGATGGGCGGTGAGTGATGGGTAGATGTATATATGGATGGAGGGATGGATGGTGGGAGATGGGTGAGGTATGGACGAGGGGTGAAAGGAGGGAGGAATGGAAGGATGGATGAAGAGGTAGAGTAAGACAGGAGGTAAGAATAAGATTGGATAAGGAAAACAAAAAAGAAAAAAGAAAAACCACTAGCAGGCATGAGGGCACATACCGTTAATCTCAGCACTCGGGAGGCTGAAGCAGGAGGATCACTGTGCATTCAAGGCCAGCCTGGGCTACAAGGTGAACTCAAGACCAACCTGTGTAACATAGCAAGACTCTGTCTCAAAAAAAAAGAAAGAAAGAAAGGAAGGAACAGCCACTATGGAAGTCAGTGTGGAGATTCCTCACAAAACTAAAATTAGAAACTCCATCTGACTCAGATATACCCTTCTAAGTATTTTCCCAAAAAAGTTAAAAAATCATCAGATTACAGGGACACATGTGTACTCATGTTTATAGCAGCACAATTTATAATAGCTAAAGTGGGAAACAGTATATGCCCATCAGCAGACGAATGGATACGGAAAATACGGTATTTATACACAACAGAGTACTACTCTGACATAAATAAAGATAAACTCAAGGCATTTGTAGGTAAAGAGATGCAATTTGAGACTGTAATATTGAAATAAAATGTCAGGCATGCAAACTTAAATATGATATGGTTTCTTTTATATGAAATATATATATATACAAATAAAGAGCAAAATAGATTAAGTAGGAAGTAAGGAAGTCAAATAATTCCTCAATTACCTATTCCATCATTTCAAAAATATTTTAATATACATGCCAATTTGTTTTATTTATACTATTAGTTTCTCTTAGTTTATTGAAAGTTTTGTACTGTTACTTGATTTTTTTTTAACTTTAAAGATAATAAAATCCAACAAAACAAGCCAGAACAAAGCCAATCAAAACAATGCAGCAAAACTGGTACAGAACTTCAAAGCAGCATACCAGGAAAATAACTCTAGCTACCATAGTATATCTTGTTACCTTCATAATAGTTGTCCATCCATCAGACATAGCAAAATCAAACCAAAAGCAAAACACAATAAGACAAATCAAAACAGAATGTTGAGTAGAATAAAATAATCAAAACAAAGCAAAACATGAAAACAATATTTGACTCCAAAGACAAGATAGAAGGAAATCCCCCATATTTGCTGTATTGGATACCGTCATCCTCCCAAGAGATGCTCAGACCTCTGACCGCAGGCCTGCATAATCAACCCAACAATACAAGCATTTAGTTGCTTTATGTACCTTAGTTGCCATCCTCTCAGTCTGTCCTCCTAGTGTCTGGTTGCTTGGGGAGGGGCACCGGAGGGGATGGCAGCACATGGACAGCATCTGATTCTCAGCCCGTGCACCAGTAGGCTCATGGGAAGCGCTATCTGACTTTCCCCTCCCTGGAACCCACGCAGCTTGCACGGCTGGCTAGTTGATTTCTTGGTTGGTCCCGCAAGTCCCAGCATGGCTGATCCTTGGGAGATGCTGATTTTTCTCTCCCCTGATTTTTCTTGTAAGAGAAAATCTTTTGTCTCTGAATAACTACTTTGAAAGTAATGATACACAGTTATCAACTATTGTTATTCTCTTATTTTGTTATGAAATTTTGGGATATTTTCATAAAATAAAAGAATCAAAAAGAAAAAGACTCCTATGTGATCATGTTGCAGGTCATCATGGTGATAAAAGATTTCCTTTGAGAAAAGGCTGTGGAAACCAGGATCACGAAAATCAAAGAAATTTTCAGAGCTTTAGAGAAACATTCCAAATGCCCCAGAAAAGAGAGCTGCAGGGAAAGGCAGCCAAAACACATACTCACATGTGTGCATACACACACACACACACACACACACACACACACACACACACACTGCCGGAATGACGCACAGCCTCACAGAAAATTCAATAACTCTCCTCTGGAGAGAGGAAAGAAACAGAAACGAGTAAGACAAAGTCAGACTGAGGAAGAGAAGGGGGCTCTGCATCAACAGGGAAGTTGAAAGGAGGAGAGGGTGTGAGACGTGAGCAGACATGAGACGGGGCGGGCAGGCCCAGCACAGGCTTCCCACCTGCCCGCCCCTCTGATGGCTGTCCCCTCCTGCTCAGGACACCTGAGACATGCTCCGTCTAACTGGCCCACTGGACCCATGGTGGGGAGGAAGGGATGGACAGGTGGATGGATGGATGAGTGGTGGACGGAGAGAACGACCTGGACCCTGGAACCAGACTTGATCAAAGCCAGGGACAGACAGTGCTGCTTGCTGCCCAGCCAGCTCTCCACCCTTCTTCTCGGCTCCGAGAGGCTGACCACACTCAGTCACCTGCCCTTGGGCTTCTGTTTGGGATGGGCAGGTGGGTACACAGACAGGAGACAGGTGGGGGAAATGAGATGAGGACGTTTATTCCCCAGAGCACCTGGGCTGAGAGGTGCCCAGACTGGAGCCCCTTTGTGCTCTGGGCAGCCCCTCTAGGTGCTGTGTGTGTGTTGGCAGGGGTGGGGTGGGGTGGGGGGCATTGTCATCTCACCGGCATCCTTCGGAGAGCGGGGATGTCACAATCCTGCTACTACTGGCTTTAAGCTCCCATGACCTGCCTCCCTCCAGGGCTCATCTTTCCCATCCAAGCACTAACCAGGCCCAACCCTGCTTAGCTTCAGAGATCAGACGGGATCAGGTGTGTTCAGGGTGGTGTGTGGCTGTCGACAGGGGTCATCTTTGTAAATAACTTCTCCATTAAATGTTCCAGCCTTGAGCGCTCTGCCTGTTTCCTGTTGGGATCCTGATCCACATAACCCACAGCGAGAAATACAGATACACACGCACACTGGCTGCAGAGAATGACCACCATATTTAGCAAAAGCAGGGAGGGGAGAGAAGACAAGAGGGAGCTGGTGAGGGGACCCAGCACCCCCAGAGGGCTTTACTTTTAATACAAAGATGATATGGGCACAACCAAGGGAGGCGCACAACCAAGGGAGGCGTCTCGGCCACAGAACCAGGAGGGTAAAAGGCCTGGAGCAGCGTCCAGGAGATCAGCAGCCCCCACATGTACACAGCTCAGGTGCACACGTGTGCCCACTGTGATACACGCAGTCCTAAGGAGATGAGGTCACGCATCCTGAGGGCAGCAGTAACTGGCCCACCTCCCTCCTGGACTCTGAGCTCCCAACGGATGAGGCTGAGGGGCTGAGACTCGGGCCCCTGTCCTCTGCAAAGCCCCAGGGCTGCTCAGTGTAAGTTTGATGGATGAATGGATGATGGACGGGCAGATGGATGGATGATCCACACATCAAAAAGCTGCTGGCTGGGCTGTGGTGGGAACAGCCCCTTAGAGGGAGACTTAACAGAAAGGGGGACAGATGCATGGTGGGTGGCGGGGTGAGTGGAGTCAGGGAGGACTCAGGTGCCCGACTGCATGCAAATCCCCAGGGGGCAGTGACTCCAGTGCTAATGAGAACAGGGAGAGAGCGCCTTGCAGCAATAGATGAGGAGGCCAGGTTCAAGTGCAGGCACTGGGGTGAGTGGGGGCTGGAAACCGGGAAAGAGCGGGGTTTGGACAGCAGGGGACATGGCATGTCAGTGCCGAAAAGGGCTCTGTAGACTCTTCCAGGAAGTCGTGAGAAGTGGGAGAGGGGAAGATCAGGACAGGCACCGGCCGGAGTGAGGGTGTGTGAGGCAGGAGCCAGCACGGACAGCCTGGCAGCAGCTCTGCAGGAAGGTGCCCTGGACAGACAGGCAGGCTGCGAAGGGTCCTGAGGAGGCAGGTGGAGCCCAGCTGTGGCCGATGTGCCCACATGCACACAGCAAGACCTAGAGGACGTGGAAGCTTTACAAGCTTGAGGAAAAGAGAGGGAGCTGAAGCCAGCTGTGGGTGTACACACACACATGCATGCACACACACACACACACGCACACACGCACACACACACACATGCGCGCACGTGTGTGCTTACAGCGTGGGACGACACACAAAGTCGGAATGAAATTGAATAACATTTCTCAGGAGAAGGAAAGAGCACAGCTAAGCGTGAGAGAGCCCAGCAGAAGCGGGAGCAGCGTGATGGAAAGTAAATTAAAAGTCGGAACATTAAAAAGAGGGGGAGGGGCTGGAGGTTTAGCTCAGCGGCATAAGCACCTGCCTTGGAAGCAGGCAGTCGTGAGTTCGATCCCCGGTACCGATAAAAACGAAAAAGCCAAAAAAAAAAAAAAAAAAAAAAAAAAAGAGGGGGAGCAGGGCCTTCGGGGAGACCACCAGGCAGGCAGGTAGATGCAGCGTGTGCGGCCACACACTCCTTCCCACACACACATGGCTCGCCCGAAGCCCTGGCTCCTGGAACGGCTTGCCACAGCTCCAGGGGTGGCTAGGAGCACAGGACCCCCACGGCTGAGACAGAGCCTGAGAACGGCCTCAGAGAGGACACCTCCTGAAGTTATCACAAGTTGGTTGTGAGGTCAGTTTTCCAACGGGGCCGTTATGGTTACATACAGAATGGAGGCGGGCAAAGCACACACACACTCACACCCTCACTCAAGAGCCGGGCCACTGAACAAATAAGGCAAAGAGGACAGCGATAGATCACCCAGAGACCCCGAGAGAGATGAACGCGTAGACAATGTTTGGGGTGCACCCGGAGCCTGTAGAAGAGAGAGGCAGAAGGAGAAGCCATACGTTCACCGTAGCTCTGTCTGCAGCAGTGAGAAAGCAACGACCAGAGCGTGCACCCCGGAAGAGGACGGAGCTCCCACGCTCTTCCTCTCTGGAACCCCACATGGTGGAGAAGAATCGACTGCGACCGACCGTTCGTCCTGTGCAGGAAGAGGGGCCGAGAGACCACTGGGGCAGAAGCCCACGCAGAGTGAGTTGCCCAGCAAGCGGCAATTTCTTCTGCAAGCAAGAACAAAGTTCTGGCAAGACTATCAAAGCACGCTCTGCATCTTCCAGAGGGATGACTATGCTCCCGTTTCCAGCTGCCCGATGATTATTTTAGATCAATCTTTTATCCTGTATTCTTGATAAACTCACTGGTTCTAGGAACTTTTTGTAAATTCTTTAGAAGTTTCTGGGTAGACAACAACATGACTTGCTAGTAAACACAGTTTTGTTTATTCTTTTCCTTTATTTCTTTTTATTGCCCATGGCACGTACAGTGTTACATAGGAGGGTGAGAGGCGCCCTCCTCTCCCTCCTGATCTGAGGAGAAAAGGAGGAGTAGGGTTTTAGCTGTTTTATAGGAGTGTGCATAAGTGATTTCTTTTGTTTTGTTTTGTGGGCTGGGGACTGGACCCAGGGCCTTGCAGAAGCAAACCAGTGTATGTGGTGAAGTTTCTCCCTTAATATAACTCTATTTATCTTACAATCTGGATGGGTGAGGGAACTGTGGAAGAGACTTTAATCTCATGTGATGTTTCAATTGCTTAGAGATAATGTATTTGTGTATTACTGGTGAGATTGAAGGGTAATTTGTTTTGTTTTATTATACTGAGGATTGAAGCCAGGGCCCTTGCACTGAGCTGTATCTCAGTCTTTTATTTTTATTTTTTAATTTTTATTTGAGACAGGGTCTCCCTGCCACTAAATTGCCTAGGCCGGGCTCAAACCTAATTCTCCTGCCTCAGCCTCCCAGGGTGCTGGGATTACAGGTATGTGCCACCATGACTGACTGAAGAGGAGTTTTTATAAAGAAGAAACAGGAAGAAAGATGGCAAAAGGGGGAAAAGGGGACTGAAGAAGACTGAGAAAGAAGAGGAAACTCACAGTCAGACACACATTCATCTGTCTTTCTACCCTGCCCTCCACCCTGGGACCTTCTGTACTGACATCCAGAGAAGACCCCATCATCAAAGGTTCACAGTCCGATGCGCAGGGCACTGCTGGGCTGGGAACAGCCAGACCCAACCCTCTCCCTGTCAGTCAGCACCATCCAAGGATCGGGGGAGAGAGAACAAGGCCACACCAGCAAACAAACCCAGTCTGGGAACCAACGCTATGTGTGGGCCACCACCAGACTGGGAGAAGTCGGACCCCAGCCCCTTCTAGGGTGCAGGCTGGCAAACAAGAAGTACCAACCTCCACCCACCCCCCAACCATTTGAGCAACAGGCTTATCCAGAGAAACACAGCTGTGATGATAGCTATGCAGGTGAAATGCAATTGGATGCCTGTGGTGAAACACTAACATTGCAGGTCTAGGGCTAGCGGTCTGGTCATAGGTTCAGAGGACAGTGGTACACAGTGTGGCATCTAGTGGGGATCTCCTCCTGAGGGTTGCAGCCACTGTTCATTCCCTATGGTCTTGTTTTAAGGTCCTATATCATTTCCATTGTTTTGTTGGGTTGGATTTTATTCTCTTTTGTTTTGTTTATGTTAAATCCGATGGCAAGAGCAGCTGTTTCAAAGATAGCAAGACATAAAATGTAAGTGTTGGATTTACTATTGGCCTATTTTGAAGTCCTCTCTTGCATTCATTGTTTTGTTCTCATTGTTTCTCTTCTATTCTGTTCTGTTTGATGTTTACTATGTCCGAAGTTATCTGTAACTATTTTGAAGATATCAAAAAGCATTATGGTAACTATTGTTGATTTTGTAATGTTTTGAAGTCCTCTATCTCTTATATGAGTTTGTCTTGATTGGTTTTATTCTGTTTTATTATCTTTAAAATAAAACTTTAAAAAATTTTTTAAAAACACGAAGGTTCACATCAGATGAGCTGGAAAGACACCAGCGCCATGGCGTACGTGGCTGTTCCTGGGGGATCTCCCGATGGAGGACAGCAAGGGCCTCATTGAAGAGGAACCCATCCCTTATCCTTGACAGATAGGCCCGAGAAGGGGAAAAGCCCCATTGCTGAGATCTGGGTGGAGATGATGGTGTGCAAAGGGAGAGACTGAGCTGGCAGACAGGTGTTGGTGGAGGACTTTGCCTGAGCACCGCGGTGGCTAGAGGTGGGGGGGCCAGCAATGCTAAAGCCCAAGTACCCTTCCCAGCTCCCCTGAGGGGGAAGCAGAGAGGGTAGGAGGGCGAGGGGCCAGGAAGGAGTGAGAAAGAGCATGTTCTCTAGTTGAGAAGAGCCAGGAGAGGAAAGAGAGGGTGGCTGTTGCCCAGGCAACAATATTGGCCATGAGGATGGGGAGGAACAAGAGGGAAGGAGAGAGAGAAAGATGCTGGAGGAAGAGTTGGCAAGTTTTATTGGAGATGGATGCCAAAGAGGAACAGAAGGTACTTGGTTTCCTGGCCTTGGAGACGGGGTTTGGGAATAAGGGATGAGGGCAGGAATCCTGAGGGGAGCCCCAGATAGCTGACACACATAAGAGATTGTCTGCATGGAGCCAAGGTTGATATCCACAGCGTTGGGCACAAACAGAACCATTCAGAAAGGCACATGGAAGGAGAAGTGGCCCTGGAAAATATGACAGATGTCACTTCACCAAGTACACAATGTGAGGACCCATTTGCAGTACAGTGATAAGTGGTCTGTCTTCTTCTGGACTCTGCGCTCTTACGGGACATGGCCTGGGACTCTGAGGCCTGTGTCCTCAGAAAGACCCACCAAATGTTCTATAAAAGTTTGTTGGGTAGGCAGGTGAAGGAGAATACGATGAGTGGATGATTAGATGGATGGGTAGATGATGGCGGATAGACTGATGATGGGTGGACGGATGGGGGGCACACGGTTGGATGTAGGGGTCCAGGCTTCATTTGTCTAAGTGTGGGCTTAGTCAGGGTCCATAAGATGGTGAGGTAGGGGAGCTCTGAGCAACTTTTGGGAGATTCTACAGGAAGAAGAACAGATGGGCTGTGGGTAGCAAGAAAGTGGGAACTCAGATATGACTCAGGGCTCCTGGCTGAGGGTCTAGGCAGGCAATGACACTCAGCACTAATGAGAACAAGAAGAGAAACATATTATGGGTGCAGAAATGATGCGGCAAGTTTGTCATATGCCGGGTTTGATGAACCAAAGGCAGCTGGGGATCAGCTTTGAGTTTCCAACTTGTGAGAAAAAAGCCTGCTAGTCTGACCTTCAAGGCTGTCAGCACCTAGGGCAGTGTGATCAGGTACAGGGATGAAGGAGTGGAACCCAGGACATACAGTGGGTCCCAAGGTGTGCAAGCAGGTGCAGGAAGATTAGAGACCAAAATCAGGGTAGGGCAGACAGCACTCACCCCCATGTGCACACACATACACAATGAACTAGCCTAGGTCTGGACACGAGGCAGGTGCTTAATCAACTTCTTTTGGTTAATCAACAAATAGGTGGACAGAGTGTGAATGGCAATCACTCAGAAACCAGGAGTCACCCCCGCCCAAGCTGGGAAGGAAGACATGGGAGACTAACTGATTTTATATATATATATATAATCACCCACATGCCACACACACACATCACATCACAACAGGCTCATTAAACTCCAACAGTGTGGATTTCTAAGGAGGTAAAAACAGGCAGTTAGGAAAGGAAATGGGACTCTCAAACAGCATGACACCACACACACAGACCTTTTCACTGATTGGCACAGAATTTGGTGTCTCTTATATAACAGATGGATGGATGGTGGATGAGTGAATGAATGGAGGGGTGGATGGACAGGTAGATAAGTTGGTGGATGGATGAGTAGATGGATGAGTGAATGGTAAATGGATAAGTAGGTGGGTGGATAGGTGGATGGATAAATGGATAGGAGGATGGATGAGTAGATAGGTAGATCAGTGGATGGATGGATGGGTGGATGGGTGACTACAAGGAGGGATAGGTTGGTGAGTGGAAGGGTGGATAGATGGGTGGGTGGGTGGATGGATGTAACCCAGAAATCGGGAGAGGGCTAATTAGAGCCCAGAATATAAGCGGTTCATACATGTACCACATACACACATCACATAACTACACTATTATAGCGTCTACCACAAGATGTTTAAAAATGGAATGCCTGAAAAAAATAATAAATTAACAAGGAAGTGAATGAATGAAGCAAACCTGAAGTTAGATCAAAACTCAATGATTGGGAAAGACAAATACGACCTGAGTTGAAACAGAAAGACATGGACACACGCCCAGGTATGCCGTGTGTTCACACACGCCTACACACATGCAAGATGACCCCTCATTTTAAGCGGAGGGCCCGGCCTGGGAGCACTCAGAGGGAGCACTCAGCATTTGGGAGAACATATAGACGGAGCAAGGCAGGGAGGAGGGGTGGCAGGGAGGGCACAGAAGTGAGAGCTGTTAAGGAACAGACTTGGAGGGACTTGGTCACCAGTCTGATTCACGCACATAATTAGCATGAATTTATAGAGCATCTACTTTGCACCAGACACTGAAAAATGACCAGATGATAGCAAGGAGCAGAACAGAATCAGCCCCTGCTTTCCTGGAACCGGCCTCCCATTACAGAAGACAAGAAACAGATCCACTGAGCCAGTGAGCTTATCTCCAAGATCATTGCCCAGAGGAGGATAAAGCAGCTTGGTGAGACAAAGCCAAGGGACAGAACGGGCTAGTCCAGAAGGCAAGGTCAGCATCTGAGCTGAGGGACAAGAGAGGCAGCCCTGTGAGTTTCTGGAAGCATCTTCCAGTCTTCAGGACAGCAAAGCTAAAACTCTAAGACACGAAACAGCTTGGTGAGTTTGGGAGACAGCAGGCAGAGCAGCCAGTGAGAGGAGAGAGCACAGGCTCTGGAGTAGAGATGAGCTCATGTCAGATTCCAAGGGCAAGGGCACTCAGTGTGGGTTTCGTGACCAGGAGATCATGGTCTGACTTCAAGCTTCAGCTGGCTGTGGGTGGAGGATGAATTGCATCAGGGGTAGAAGCGGGAGCCCCAGGAGAAGGCTGGTGTCCCAGAGAATCATGGGAGCTGGAGTAAGGGTGAGGTGTCCGGGAAAAGAAAAGGGAACGGAGCTGGGGTGCTCAGAGGTCTGGGCAGTGGGATGAAACGTGAGCATGAATGACGACAGAATAAGGGATTCCAAGATGGTGTTAGGGCTTAAAGTAGTGCCACTTCTTGGTGAGGGAAGGCCAGAGGAAGAGCAGGGAGAGCTAGTGCGCGTGGTCCTGAACGTGAGCTGCAGATGCCCTTGACAAGAGCAATGTCAACAGCAAACTAGGGATCAAAAGACTAATTAAACAGCATTTAAAAAAAATAGTAGGGAGCCAGGCTTGGTGTCACATACCTATCATCTCATTTACTCAGGAGACTGGGGCAGGAAGATCACAAGTTCAAAGCCAGCCTGTGCAACTTTAGCAACTCAGCAAGACCCTGTTGCAAAGTAAAATAAAAAGGGCTGGGGGCATCGCTGAGTGATGGAACTATTGTGCAGGGCCCTACGTTCCACCCCCAGTCACCAGAGGGGGAAAACTCCAGGAGGAAAGGACAGAGAGAGGAGGGCTAAGGACTGACTATGGGCCCCACATTTCAGTAACACTGAGAGGCTTCCCAGCTCCCCTCCAGCACCTGGTGAGGTCAGAGTGAAGGGCTTGTCTTGGAAACCAAGAGCAGAATTGAAACTCGGCTGGGAGTCCTTTAAATGGGCAGTGCGCAGGCCGCTGGTGCCCCGACCTGGGCAGAGGAATCCGGGAAGCAGGGAAGGAAATGGGCCTAGGGAGAAGGTGACTCTTTCACAAAGATTTCTGAGAAGGGAGGAAAGAAAGGTGCAGCTGGGAGAGAGATAGCGTCAGGGGAGCCATCTTTGTAGAAGGCTGGAGAGCTCTGCAAGCTGGCTGCAGGAATGAGACAGTTTCAAAGGCGAGGCGTCTTTGAGAAAGCTAAAAATCCCTGCTCTGGAGGAAGGCAGTGGGAGGGAAGGGACAGGAGGGGAACAATGGCACACCTCCTGGGTCACTCACTCATTCACTCAGAAAATCCCTTACAACCTCCCCGTTTAATCTCTAATAACAGCTACGTGAGCCCAGCCCTGCTGGAACAGCTTTGCAAGATTTCACTAATCCTTGAAACATCCCATGAGGAACATGTTGTCTCCAGCTTCCTTTACGGATGAGGGAACTTCCAAAGGTAACAGGTGTTTGAGCAAAGAGTAGCTGCATTGGCCTTGGTGGGAACTAGGAAGGGGCCTGTGAGGGAAGGGCTGGAGCAGGAGCTGCCCACCCCGGGGGAGAGTCGGCAGGAAGCGGGGGCAGCGGGGGGCGCACAGGAGCTGGGGATCAGAGAGGAGGAGCTCCTGGCTGCCGCCCCAGTGGGTGATGATGCCAAGCACTAAGGAGAACAGGCGACAAAGCAGCAGATCTGAGGGGCCCGGCCTGTGCTGGGCGCATGGCTTCATCCTGCTGATGGCCCGGAAGGCAAGCGTACCAGCAGTCGGGGCACTGCCCAGGGAGGAGGTGCAATGTGGAGCTCCCAGGGCTCAGGGCAGAGCAGGAGACAGAAAACAGGAGGACTGCATGGTCCTCACAAGGGGAGAGGAAACACTCAGCCGCACAGCACTCTCTACTGCCTCTCACTTCTGGAGCCAGGCAGCCTGCGTTCACATTGTATCTCTCTCTACTACTTGCTTGTTGGGTGACCCAGAACAAGTTGCTTCATTTCTGAGCCTTGGTTGCCCCATAAGTGAACAGAGACAATAATAACATTACGTTATATTATACAATCACATTATAAAGAATACATGAGACTCCATGAGAGGTCCTGGGCTATGTCTGATGCACGGTAAGCAGATATGACCATGACAATCAGCTGTTCCTGTTGTCTTGTGGTCTTGCTCTGCCCTAGACCAAAAGGAAGCAATGAGGCGATATGAGATTTAACAACCATATTTATGAGAGTATAGAGAGAGCAGCACTGACTAACAAGGGGTCAGGAGAGGTTTTCACAAGGAGGGACCATTTGATTTGGGCCTTGAAGTATGCACACGAGTTGTCCAGGCTGAGAAGAAAGTGTATTCATCCTTCCAGCATCTCTCCAGGACCCCAAGTGTCTCAGTTATTCTTGGCCTGTGTAAGAGCAAGAACCCATCTTCAAGAAAGGTGCTGGTCAGTGCTCAAGCCACTGTCAGGCTGTGGAAGAGCAGGCTCAGGAGAGAAAGTCAGTGACAAGAGAACGTGGGAGGTGCCTGGAGCGGGGCAGGGAGATGGATGAGAGTGAGAAGCAGACGGAAGCCCCAGCCCAGGGGACAGCCACAGCCAAAGTCTTGGAGGTGGACTGTGTGTTGGTGGGTCCGCAGTTGTCCTGACCCTGGAAGAGCCACACCTGGGCAGTCTCCTTCCCTCCCCCCGACTCCACTCCAGCCCCTCTTGTGCCGTTTTCAGTGACGCCAGGGAGCATGTTACAAATGCCATCACTGTGAGATGATCACTCGCTTGCTCTCCAGCAATCAGGAGCTCCTTATGGTCTGTAGCAAGCCCAGAATTCCTCCTGGCTGCAAAGCCTTTTCCCAGGGCCACAGGGGCTTTCTTAGCACTAAGCCCTGGTCTTCCCAAGGCCAAGACCTCCCACCAAGATGCTAGCACCCATCAGTCAGCCCGCTGTGTGCACCGTCACCTCTGAAGCTCCCCAACCCAGCACCTCCCCGCGTCACCCACACTACGCCCAGACTCTGCCTCCTTCTGTGTCCTCGGTCTCTCTGAGCACTTCTGTCTCTCCCTGTATCTCTCTATCTGTCTCTATCTCTGTCTTTCTGGGTCTGTCTACTCATTGCTTGTCTCCATCTTTTGCTCTGGTGCCTCCCACCCACCACTCACATCTCTTGGGCCCATTCATCAGGCCCTGCAACTGGCCAGCTCACCAGCACAGACCCGCCCCCTGCAGACCCCATCTTTTTGTCATATTGGCCCTACCTAGTGAGCGCCCCTCTTCCATCCCCCCGAAGCCTTCATCTTCTCTTTCTCACCACTGGCCCCTGAGTTTGAATTCAGTTTTCCTCCGACTCAAGGTCAGTCCTGCTGTGTGTGTGGTGTGTACATGCTCCATGTGAGTCCATGTGTATCCATCTGTCCGGCCCTTGGCCTGCCTCGGGCAGATCTGTTCTCCAATCTGAATGGCTCATTCCTGTGCCACCTCCTACATCCCAGGGGACACTGTCATAGCCACAGGAGCCCTGGGCTGTGAGGACAGGAGGGCCAGGGCCACACCTTCAGGTACACAGTAGGAGCACGCCATGCGCCAGCCCCCATCTGGGTCCCTGCCACAGCCTATGGAAGAGGCTACTGTCCATTGCATTCCAGAGAGGGAGAAACTGAGGTGGGGGTGACATGGAGGCAGACTCAGGCCTGCCTGGCTCCTGTCAGGCACCCCTGCCAGCATACCCAGAGCTGAGCAGTGAACCTGAGGCAGAGAGGGGCGGAGCTGGCTCATGGTGGGGTTTAGGGTGAGCCCCAGAAGCTGTGCTGTTCCCTGTCCCCACTCCAGCTCTGTCCACCACCCCACCACTGTCCACATCTCCTCTGAGCACTGGGAACCCCTGAACCACCCCCAGGTCTGCACTGACTGTGTCTGCCAGAGTTAGTACAGGGCGCAGAGGAAAAGACTCTGAGGAAACGATCTGGGAACAGAATTGGTAGGAAGCAGGCCAGCTCCAGTTTGAGCGGCAGAAGCCAAGGGCGAAGCAGGGGCCCCTAGAGTGTAAAGTGTGCCAGTAGCCAGCAGGGGCCACAGCAGATGTCTGCGAGGCATGGAGACCCCTCCCTCGGCAGCCGGGAGAGGCACATGGGGGCCGTGGTGCCAGGAACAGAGCCACCCTGGGCCTCTGGGAACTTGCACGGCTGTACACACACGTGCACACACTCGCCCGGGTCAGCACAGTCTGGAGCCTGGAAGTAAGTCGTCTGTGGAAAAAAGGAAGAAGGAGAGGGAGGAAGGGAAGGAGGGACAGAAGGACAGACAGACAGACCTGCGGAGTGAAGTCAACTGCAATCCACCGGGAGGAAGGGAAGCCGAGGTGACAGCCGCCAGCCAGGGCCGAGGCTCTGTGCGGTCTAGCCCTTGCTGTGGGCTGCCCGCACTGAGCATTTTGTGTGCAGCTGTCACGTTTACTCTCCTGGAGCTTACTGTCCGCATTTTGCAGGTGTGAACTCGGGCTCTGAGGAGTGTCACTTGCCTGAGGACCAGTGGGAGACTGGAGCCCAGGTGTGTGACACAGAGCCCAGGAGCTTCTCCACTGTGTCGAAGGCGACATCAGGGTGACAAAGACGGGTGCTGGAGGAGCACGGGGCACCACATGGACAGAGATGAGGGCCTGCAGGGAGCCGCTCTGCCTTCCCACAGACCTCAGTGGCCGTGCTCCTGTCCCCGGGTGGAAACACTGGTTCCCTGCCCAGGGATTGAGAGCCCAGAGGGAACCCTGCAGATGCCCTGCGGCCACTGCTCCCCGGCCAGCTGTGCACTGGGCCTCCACCTCCCGGCTCCACGCTCTCCTCCCACCCCAGCAGGAAGGGCAGACGCCAGAGGGGCTGTGCTAGAGGAGGCAGTGCGGGGTCTTCCCTCTGCTCAGCACCCCTAGCAGGAGGAGGGGAGCGGGGAGGAGAGGCTGAGATGGAGAGACCTTGAAGATAGAGACAGCCAGATGGGCTGATGGGACACACAGGGGCCCCAAGGGGGTCCCAAAGGCTTCTGGAGGAATGAATAAGTAAGACAGAAGGAAGTGGGCCCTGCGAAGAAAGACAGACACAGGAAGGAAAGTCAGAGAAAAGGCCCCAGTGTCGCCGCTCGTCCTTTCTCTCCGGGAGGGGGATACTCTTCTGCACATCATTTTGGGTATTTCCTGACTTTCCTACAGTGAACACATATTATATCTGAAAATGAAGGAAAATAATAAATGTCATTTCTAAAAGAAAGAAACTCTCCACCGAGAGAACAAAGCTGAGTGAGTCTGCAGAGAGGCAGGAGGGGGAGGCAGCAGTCACGTGCACGTGCACGTGCGCGCTCACACACACACACACACACACACACACACACACACACTCCCATGCTTCAGGCTCACAGCTTGAGCAGCCAGAGCGAAATTCCAGAAATCTCCAAGGGAGGAAAAGAGTAGGAAAGAGGAAAAAGGCAAGGCAGACCGGAAAGCTAGAGGTATATGATGGATAGACAGACAGACACACACACACACTACATTCCCGCCACCCCCGCCTAGACATGACTCAGCAAGGACCCAGAGCTGTGTGGTTCTGGAAGTTGTCACTTGATTGGGTTTTTCTTATTACAAATGTAATAAAGATTTCTATGCTCAGAGCCAATGATTTAGAAAAAAATGACTCACTATTTTTGAATGAGCAAAAACTTATGAATGAGGGTGACCCATGGAGATGGAGGGAGAGCAAACAGTGAGGTGACACAGACAGGACAGGACACGCATGAGGCAAGAAGCACGTGGAGGGACACGGAGGGCCAGGCGAAGGCAAGATGGCAGTTCCAAAGGGACACAGAGACCCACACAGGGCTTGGGCGCCTGACGTGTGGACACACCCTCTGCAACACTCAGCTCTGGGAGCTCACAGAGAGTGACCGGGACCACAAAATGCAATGAAGGGCTGGTGATACAGCTCAGCGGCACAGCACCTGCCTGGCAAGCACAAGGTCCCGAGTTTGACTCCAGGTACCAAAACAAAAGCAGTGAGACCAGACTGACTGAATTAATTAGTTAATTAATTAATGGCGGTGAGGGCAGGACAGAGACACCCAGAGGCAGAAGGATGGGCTGGGAGACACCCAGGAGGCTCAGAGATAGACCAGATAGTGACAGAGACTGGTGACCAAAGTCCCTGGAAGGAACAGAGAGGAGACGGAGCCAGAGCTGGAGAGGAGGGGCAAGGGCTGTGAGGCACAGCACAAGGCACACCGGCCCACCGGTGCCCAGGCCTGCACGCCCACCGCAAGTCTACTCCCAGCACCCACGTGGGGCGCCTCCTTTTGAGAAAAGCGTCCCTTAGGAACTCGTGTCGCTTCTCCCTGTTCCTCTGTGTTTTCTAAACATTCCATCATGAAAATGGATGCATCACTTTCTGAAGCAGGAAAAACCACGTGCCTGGAAAGAAAGAAAGAGAAAGAAAAATGGTGCAGCAGGAGAGTAAAGATGAAGCCCCAGAGAACAAGCAAGGGTGGGCCAACACGCACGCACACACGCACACACACACATGCACACACACTCCAGCGCACAGCAGGAATGCGGGGGAGGGGGAGGGGCGCAGAGAGGAAGCCTGCACGGTCCACACTCACTCAGGACACCAGGCGTGCACTCACTGACCACCTGCTGTGTGCAGACGCCTGGGCTAGGCTGGGGCTCCAGCCTGCTCCCCTGGAACTGACATCAATCTGGGATGTCAAGTGTGGGCTGAACCACAGGCCGGGCAGAGCAGGGGCATCTGGGAGGAGAACCCCAGAGGCTGAGAGCACAGGGCGGGGCCCTGCGGGGACTGGGGAGGAGGGCAGAGGCAGAGGACAGAGCTGGGAGGAGCAGAGGCACAGAGAGAGGGAGAGAGAGAGAAACAGAGACAGAGACAGAGAGAGACAGAGCCTGTGGAGTCACACGGGCTGACACTGGGCACCGCACACCAGGAGCTAACAGGCTTCAGGCAACAGGAGCAGAGGTGCGGAGACCTCAGGAGGAGCCAGCAGGGTCAGAAAGGCAGGCAGGGGGGACATGATGGGGCAGTGGCCGCTGCATAGGGAATGTCCGGGCCCTGTCTTGGTGGTTTCTTGGGATGAGGAACAGATCCACAGGCCCTATCCCAGAAGGGGGACCACAGGAACCTCCAACTCCAGAGCCGGGGGGACGAGGTCTCAGGAGAGGGTGAGTGTAGTTTCTTGTCACAGAATATGGTAGTGACTTAAGGATCCACAGCTGGGGAGGGATGCTAGTGAGAAATAAGACCCCAGGACAGACAGACACACCCAGGAGCCCCAGCTGGTCAGCGGAGACCGAGGAAGTAGAAAGACACACTCACACACAGACTCGCAGACACAAAAACACATACAAGCACACGCACGCACACCAGAGCCTGGGGGAAGGTGGAGAGGGCGAAGAGGGAGGGAATCATGTGGCAAGAGACAGTCAGACAAGGCCCAGCTGGGAAAACTGAGAAAGGCAGACAGACAGAGGCCAAGGGGGGAAAGGGAGAGGAGAGGGGAAGGGAGAAGCACAACGGGGGGAGAGAGAGGGAAAGACAGAGACAGAGAGAGAGAGGGAAAGCGGGGAAGGAGTCAGAGACGTGAGACCCCGGGATACAGACCCCGGGATACAGAGCACCGGCAGGAGTCGCCCAGAGAGGAGCAGTCAGAGACAAAGGGACCAGGAGAGGGGAAGGGACGAGGAGCACAGCACATGCTGCCCTCTGTCCTCCTCTCGTCCAGGGCAGACTTGATTACACCTCAGAGAATGGGCGAGAGGAGAGGATGGCGGGCATGCACACGCGTGTGCGCACACACACACACACCCATGCACGCACACGCACGGGAGAGACTCAGGGGTGTTGACTGAATGGAGGGACAAATGTCTGAGTCCCAGAATGAGCATAAAAGCCAGAACCCCATGGGAAAGGGGCAGGCAGGGGCGCCAGTGTTCTCCCCTCCTCACACACGGAGCAAAGCACGTGAGGCGCAAAAGGACAAACCTTTAATGCACGCTCTAGGGAGGAGATTTGACAGTCAGATGGACAGGAAGACACGCTCACTGGGTGAGAGAGGCCGGGCGATGCTCAGCGGAGGAGGAAGACGCAGAGGGAGGGTGGTGAGGCGAGGGTGAGGTCAGCGTGGGCCCTTGCTCCCGCCTCCCTGCTCACCCTTCCTGGGTGCGCTGCCTGGCTGAGCAATGCCCTGAGCGCACCCTGGGCAGACGCAGGCTGGGGGAGACACAAACCCTGCCTGGGGGGGAGGAGGATGGGGAAGTCAGGGAAGACTCATCCTTTTGTGGAACCAGGAAGGAAAGACACCGGCTGCAGCTGGGGAAAGCAGCAGGCACAGAATCCAGGAGGCTGAAGGTGAGGCAGGGGCTGAGGGCGGAAGGCCACTGGACACTGGTGGCCAGCGCGGGGTGACGGAACTGGGAACTAGATGGAGACGGTGGGCGCGCAGTCTTGTGAATGGACCAAGTCCTGAGTCGCTTAGTTTAAGAGACTAACTTCAAGGCTACAGGACTTTCACTCCAACTTAAAATGCTTCTAATCTGAAAATAGATGAAAAGATGCCTTGGAATTGAACAAGCAGCATGTGAGGAAAGGGGTTTCTGACTGAGGATCCGGCCTGTGCTGAGCTGTGAGGTGGGTGGCTTGGGGGTGGGGAGCGGTGTGTGGGGACATCGCAGGGAACTGTCACCACAAAGAAGGCCCTGAGGGAAAGGAAAGGGAAGGCAGACCATGGAGGAAGCAGCAGCCAAGCCATCCAAGCTGGCGTTACACGGCGCTGGGCATCCGCGAGAACCAGAACTGGTAACAGGACAAGGTGAGGAGAAAGCTCAGGCCTTAGGGTCTAGCTTGTCCATTCCAGCATGAGCTCCTGTGAGCCCTGAGGCAGACATGTTTGACAAGATTCACAGTCCTGCCCTGGTGAGGCTGACCACACAGTGATGGAGAGACTGGTGTGAGACCAAAGACCCATGTGTAAGTTGATAGCAAAGTGCTTCATAGACAAACAGAGCCAAGTAGGGGTGAAGAGAGCCGTTATTTTAGACAAAGCACCCATTAGAACAGAGACCTAATGGAGGCGAGTGATTGCCTAGGGATCTCTGGGGAAAAGGCCATCCAGGCAGACAAGCAGCATGTGCAAAGGCCCTGAAGTGGCAGCAGTGTGTCACATTTAAGAAAAGGCAAGGGCAGGGTGATGGAGCAGAGAAAGTGACAAGAGGGGACTGGAGGTCAGGGGAGATGGCAGCAGAAGACTAGGGCCAAAAGGTCTCCCTCTTGGATCCTTGTAGGTGCCTGAGTTGGTTCTGTGATGGGGTGTCCCTGGGGTAGCCTAGAGGGAAATGGGCCCTTAGGCCAAGGGAGAAGAAGAAGAGCGTGTCAGGTCCCAGCAACGTTTGTGAGTGCAGGGCTTGAGTAAACCCTGAAAGATGCTCCAGCAAACCCACTTGATGGCAGAAAGGCCACACAAGGGGCCAGAGCAGGAGCTCTATATGCACAGGAAGCAGCACACACTCACGGTCACAGCACTGCACAGGGAGGAGGGAGAAAACTCAGGACTCTTGAGGGAGCCCCTTCTCAGGAGGAAGGGAGGGAATGGCCAGAGAGTGGGGGTGACGAGGTGAGACGCCCCCAGATAGAGGCTCCTGGTGATGCACACCAATGGGCCCACACACTCGGGGAGCCTGCTTGGCCAGTGCCCAGCAGAGGTGTGACACACACGGCTTGCATGTGAGGCTGCCAGGCACAATGTGCAGACCCCAACACAGCCCCGGGAGAGGGGCTGCAGACAGCAGGGAAGGAAGGGACAGACGTGAGCTGGGTAGAAATGAGGGGATGATGACGTGTTGCCAGCTGGCCAGGCAGGGAGCCCACCACACTGCCAGAGCCCCCAAGAGAGAGGAGTGTCCAGGGACAGAGTCACCAGACAGACCCCTGTCCTCAGGGACCACAGCCCGAAACCCACAGAGAGCTGCACACACCCAGGGCTGAGCCGTGGACACAGTGGCAGAGGCAGACAGTCAGTTGCCACCGGCCATTCAGACACCCAGGGG